CGGCACCTGCAGACCCCTGCGCACGGACGCCACCTAGCGGCCGGCCGCTTCTCCCAGACCCCGCCCACCCCAGGCCTCCGGGGGCGGGGCCGCCCCGCGGCCACTTCCGAAGGCGCCCGGAAGTTCTTGTCACTTAGCAACCAAAGGACCCGGCGGCGTGATAGGGCTGAGATCTGGGATGGCCTGGGGACGGCGACGAGTTTTCGGGGCGGTCTGGGGTGAGGGACGCGCAGTACCCCCACCGGCCCTGTCCTGTTGTTGCTGGTATGCAGGTGGCATTCCTTTCCAAAACATCTGTCATCCCGTCCAACTTTCTTAAAGAGGAAGACTACCATTTCTTGAACACCTATGTGTCAGGCTCCGTCTGAGACGGGACCTAGTCTAACCCTAGTAATTACACAGCCTAATTCACTGATAAGGAAGCCAGGCTCGGGGCGGGGGCCGGGGGGGTGGGTCCGAGGCCCTCAACGTGAGCGACCTGTCCCTGGGGGCACGCAGTCGGTACCCTGCCCTGCCGAAGGGCAGGTATCCCGCCTACCTGCTCCCCATTTGGCAGGCTGAGGAAGGAGCAGCAAGAACTTAAAGCTTTACCCAAAATGCTTTATTTTTCCATAATGACTTATGAACTAGTGTTTCCAGAAGCCCGAGTCCCCGAGGGGCCAGAGTTCACTCATACAGAATAGCAAACAGACCCAAGGCCTGGAGAAAGGGCAGTAAGTGCATTAGGACTGGACGGGCTGCATCTGATTTCCACAATCCAGGGCTCAGCTTAGTCGGCAGGACACATTCAGAGTGAGAAGAGACAAGTATTTTTTGGCCTCTCGTATCTGGGCTGAACCAGTCAGGAAGGGAGATGGAGAGGCAAGGAAAGGCTGGAATAGGAATCCTTTCTGGCCTGGCCAAGGCTGGAGTCTGGGCCCCTGATGGCTCCAAGCACTGCTCAGAGTGTCAGCCCCCGCTCCTTAAACAGCTGCTTTAGAGCCTCTTCCAGCTGTCGGTTTGTTCCCTGAAGCCCCTTCACCACTTGCGCTGCCCACTCGAAGTATTCCTGGACTCTATGTTCAGACCATCCTGCATGAGAATGGACAGAAAACTGCTCACATGGCATCCAGGACAGCATTGTATTTTGCCCACTTCTGCCCACTTCCTGGAGGGCGTGGTGCAGGGCCACGAGATGTTCCCGATGGGATTTGTCCTGAAAACGTCCCCTTGGCCCAGTTACTGCACTTCTATGGTGTGAAAGATCAGAGTGGTCTAGTAGGATTAGCCGGGGGAATCAACAAGAAGGCCGAGGCTCTTTTTTTTTTCCATTGGAACTGACCAACCTGTGCCTCCAGAAGGAGGACATCCCTCCCCTTTCCCTCAGAGCAGGTGGCGGGGGGGGCGCGTACCCTCTGGGGTGCAGCGATTCAGGTCCCTCAGATTGTACAGCTTGTCTGCCAGCTTCACCAGTTTAGCCCTGGGACTGCTGTGGGGTGCCTGCTCCACCTGCAGCCGCTTTCTCTCCAGCTTGGGCAGAGTCTTGTCATCTGTTACTTCCTCCACCAGACGCCGCACCTGAGCGCCAAAGTGCAGCTCCACCTCATCCAAGGTGGTGTCTGTGTCCTCCACTGTGTCATGGAGCAGGGCTGCCTGGGGACAGGCTTCCACTTAGCCCTGTGACTCCAGGCAAGGGGTGCCCAGGGCCGAATGCGGTCCCTGATCCCCACCCTAGCCTCCTAGGAGAGAACGAGGGGAGTTACCTGTAACACCACAATGTCAGTGATTCCCGCCTCATGGGTCAGGATCCGAGCCACACCTGACGGGGCAAAGCAGGAAGTCAGACCTGAGGGAGTCCCAGGCTGCGTGCTGCGGATTTTGCAGAGCCAGATGTGGCCTCTCACTAGCCGGATGGCCTTTACTCTCTTTGGGTGTCAACTGTGCAGAGGAGCAATCATGCCTACCGCCCCGGGTTGTTGTGAGACTTACACACGGAAAGTGCCCGGCACAAAGCCTGGTACAGAGTAGGTGCTCAATGAGGCGTAGGCCCTCCGCCCGCGTTCCCTTCCCGGTCCCCACCCCCTAGACACCGCTGCGGTCGCTCCCCGGGCGGTGCGCCCACCGATAGGGTGGTTGATGTAGGGGGTCCCTTCGGGGTCCTTTCGCCGCTGCAGTCGGTGCTTGCGAGCCGCGAAGTCCGCAGCCTCCACCAGCTGCGCGGCCTCGGAGCCCATTGCGCGGGTGGGGCGGGCGACTGACGTCCCGGGAGCCCCTGGAGCACAGATGGAGCGTCCGTAGCGCCCCCTGGCTCCGCGGAGGCCAGTGACTGGGGAGTCGGACGCACGCAGGTTTCTCTGGAGCTGACGTCCGGGCGGAGACGGCAACTGGTGTGGGGAGCTGCCCTCAGCATCGCAGCCCCTGGTTCAGACGCTCTGCTGGGGGTGCAAGAAGGACATGGCCTGCCTCCCTGGGAACCCACAGTCTCGGGGAAGGAGGAAGACAATGTTCTCACAGTGTGCTGGGTTCAGGGCAGGAAGACACAGGGGACCATGGTACTTTGGAGGAAGGGCAATTCACCTAGCGTCCCGGGGTCAAAGACAACCTCTTCCAGGAGGATCCTCTCCTCCCATGAAAAGACAATCTTCAATGTCAATGCTCTGAAAATTCTCAAAGTGTTCTAAAAATGGTTTTCCCTGCAGGGAGGGACTGGTTGGAATGGGCATGGGAGCTTCACCTTTGGGCCCAGAAGACCCTACGGCCTGACCTTCTGGAAATTGGAGCTTACACTAGAAGCCTGCCTAATTGCTTCAGGTTTAGACTCCCAGGCAGCAGTGATGTTTCTGCAAGAACTGTCTTCTTTGTTCTCAGGTGCTGCATTTCTTTCTTGTACCATAAGTGTTCCTGCTTCAGTCCTGCTGTGGGTCCCTCAGATGATAACTGTTGTCATGCTGTTCTGGGAGCATGGCACTGTAAGGTCTCCATAGACTAGAATAACAACACTACTGGCTGGTGGCCTTGGGCCTTCTAGAGAAATTCCCTGTCTCGGCAGATGGCATCTATGAGATTTAAGGGGTAAGAGAGACCTGGAGACCCTGGAAGAGCTTTTCCTGTGAACTGGTTTGCAAAGTATAGTACTCCAATCAGACTGATAGCTTTTATGTTTTGGCTGGTAGCTGGGGCAGACAAGGGCTCAAGGGAAAAGTTAATGGAAGGACTTGCCCTTGTTTTTCAGCTAGTCTTAGTGGTTGCCATGATTCAGAAGTTAGGGAGGGAAGCTCCAAACGCTGTTACTGAGGTCCCTGGGGCCTGGAATGGAACGACCAGAATTCCCAGGGCTTACACAGCAGCCTGGAAATTGAGAGTGGGTAGAGAGAAATAAACCTGGCTCTAAATGCTTGTCTGTTCTTCAGCCTAATGCCTCAACTTCTCTCTCATGCCTTTCTGCCCTCTAGTCTGCTGAACCTTCTCCCCTTCAGCTCAGAAAACCTTGGGCAGCTGGGAGACACAGTCCCCACGTTTTCCAACAGAAGATAGAACTTGGTCACTTTCATCTCTTTCCAGAGGTCTGTGATAGAAGCTTCAGGTTTGTGTTACTGGCGCCCAGAGGCCGTGCGGTTTTGATTATTTCCCTCCTGTCTGCAGCCATGGCTTAGAAAGAGAGATGTTGGGGTTCCTAAGACCAGCGCTGAGGTGGAGGTGACCTCTCATGGGCTTTCAGAGGAGGCTGGGCCTTTTGCTGACTGGCCTGACCGTGGGGCGGCTGCTGCTCTTCAGCTGGGTGCCGCTTGCTCAGCCGACCTCTCTCTCAGGTACACCTCCTCTGCGCGCACCCCTCTTCAGGCCCCTGCAATCACTGCAGGGTATGAGCTGCTCTGGGCAGCCGGTGGGGGCGGGGAAGGGAGCCTGCCCTTTTAATAATGGCTGATCATTTTCACTCTCCAGAAGGGTTGGAGTTGGGTGTGGGCAGGCCATTCTTGCTTGTCTCCAGCCCCTTTGCTCCTCCCTTCAGCCCTGGCCCACCACCCCGACTTGTGCCAGACCACCTGGGACGCTGATGGCCGCTACTACCCCGGTTTTTTCTGTCCTCGGCTCTCTGATACCCCGGAGGAAGCCTACTGCTGCCGCCTGCAGGCTGCAGGGGGCTCCTGCTGCACCCGGGCTGAATTTGAGGCCTTGCACCAGGTCAACCTGTCCGCCCTTCCGCCCCCACCCATCCTCAGGTGAGAACTCCAAGCCCCAGAGCCACTGGGACACTGGCAAGGTGTTCCAGCATCCGGAGTTCTGTTTTTAAATTCTGGGGCGGGAGGCTTGTAACATACAGACGAGGGGAGGGGCCGACTTCAAACAGAAAATCGCGTGAATACATAATGACAGTTATGAGAAAGGAAGCTCAGGGGGCTGTGTAAGCGGGTAACAGGGAGCCATTGCATGCAATGTGGGACTGGGGTGAGGTGGGACGGGTGTCAGACTGAGAGGATCTTGTAGTGGATTACAGCCATTATTGTCGGGGTTTTCAAAACTGAATCTGTCCATGGATGGCTTCATGGCACCTGTGAGCCCCCTGAATTTCTATTTATGAATTCTACATTTATCCGGGGAGAGGGGTGTCCCGAGCTTTCTCCGGACCCTCAGCGGCTCTGTAACCGACAGGCTGCAGCAGGAGGTGCGCGGCTGGGGCCAGCACCCTAATACTCTCCCCTCTCCTACAGGGGCCGGGGCCCGCTCCTAGCCCTGGGCCTCTATACCCTGCTGCTCGTGGCCCTGATGACCGCCGACCTCGTACACTTCTGCCGCGGTCGGGGTGGTGGCCGGCGCCGGGGCCCCTGCCGGCCTCCCTCTGGGTCCTCCGCCGCGCGCCCCCTGCAGGTCCCGGTGGGAACAGACTAGGCGCGCCCACGGCCTGTCTGCACCGCGGACCCGAGCCCCGCCCACCAGAGCCCCGCCCACCGGCGCGCTCTCGCCTTGGCCCCGCCCCTCCCCTGCCTCCGCCTCTGACGCAAGACCGGGGCGGGGCAGAAGACGCCAGATTCCTGAGCCTGGTCCCCCTCCGCCCCAGAGACTGCGCCTGCGCGCGCCCTGGACGCCTGCTGCGCGATGACTGTGAGTGGTCCAAGCACCCCCAAGCCCCGGCCGGTCGCCCCCGGGGTGCGTACCCATCCTCCCGCTCCATCACCACTTCCCACCTGCTCTGACCGTTCCCCGGCCTCCTTCTCCCCCAGTCTTGGCCCTCCACGGGACTTGCCCCTGACCCCCGGTCTCCTTTCTCCCAGCTTCCCCGGCCCTGGCCTGAGCCCACCCCCTACGTTTCCACCCATTCCCTCCACAGGCCAGCGCGGCGGAGCAGCTGCGGAAGGAGGGCAACGAGCTGTTCAAATGCGGGGACTACGAGGGCGCCCTGACGGCCTACACTCAGGCCCTGGGTCTGGGTGCTACGCCCCAGGACCAGGCCATTCTGCACCGAAACCGGGCCGCCTGCCACCTCAAGCTGGTGAGGGAGCCGGCTGCTCTTCTTCTGCCCTCCCTGGGCCCGGTTTGCCCAGCTCGCTGTTGTTTGGGTTCCGACTGGGCATTCACCTTCCCAGGCCACCTGCGCTTACTTGTCTGATGTCTTTTGGGCCTCGGGATGGTGGGGAATCTAGTGGCTCTAGGGCACAGCCCTGCTGCCCAGCTAGTGCCCTGAAAGGGAGACGACCAGCCTCTCAAGCTCCTGTTCCTTTTCTTAACAGGAAGATTACGACAAAGCAGAAACCGAGGCATCCAAAGGTAGGGGACTGTGGGCTGGGGTGCAGAGCTGTGGGGCTTCTAATGGTGGGCAAGGACTCTGGGACCACTGCACCTTCACATTTTCCTTTCCCTTTGGCCCCAGAAACACCTCTGCCTTCTTTCTTTTCCACTTCCTTGGGCATTTCCTTCTCTGCAGCTACCCTCACCTTTCTGAGGCTGGAATACTGAGCCCCACATCTGTCCCCCCACCTTCCTCGGGCCCTCAAGACCTTTCCCTACTGCTCTTGCCTGGAGACAGTGGCCTCATGGGTGCTGACAGAGCTCCCGTTTGTGCTCAGCCATTGAAAAGGACGGAGGAGATGTCAAAGCACTTTACCGGCGCAGCCAAGCCCTAGAGAAGTTGGGCCGCCTTGACCAGGCTGTCCTCGACCTGCAGAGATGTGTGAGCCTGGAGCCCAAGAACAAAGTTTTCCAGGAGGCCCTGAGGAACATCGGGGGCCAGATTCAGGAGAAGGTACACGAATGACCGAGAGAGAGGCAGAGAGAGGGAGGCATTGACAGGTGGTAGAGGGACACTGGTAAATGGATCTGGGCAAAGGATGTAAACACAGGAGATACTGATGGCAAACAAGCTTATGGAATGATGCTCAGCCTCGCTAGTGGTTAGGGAGAAGCAAATGCAAATAACAGCAAGGTGCTGTCTTTTCGGTGGTCTGTTTGGCAAACTTTTAAAGTATATACATTTTGCTAGAAGGGAGGCAGACGCTTAAGTGGTGGGCTTGCTCATGACTGCCGGAGTTGGTATATATTGGTACAGCTCCTTCGGGGAGTGCCTGAGCATAGCTCTTAAAATTTTAAATGAGCGTACCCTATGATCCAGTATGTTTACTTGCTGTCTTCCCTGGAGAAGCCTTGCCCATGTACACGAGCAGGCGTGTGTGTTTATGTCAGCCTTGTTTGTTGTAATGAAAAATTGGAGCTTGGCTAACTGCCCAGCAATAGGGGAATGGCTAAATAAGTGGGGTGCTGCCCTTACTGTGGACTCTTATATCATAGTTACCGAGAATAGGTAGATTTACATGTATAGATGTGGAAAGAAAATACTTCTTTTTTTTGTTTGTTTTTAAAGATTGTATTTATTTATTTGACAGAGAGATAGGGCACAAGTAGGCAGAGCGGCAGGCAGGGGGAGAGGGAGAAGCC